GGCGGCCGTGGCGGCCGGGCGAGGAGGGGGCAGGAGGTGCGAGCAGGGCCGGGCAGGAACCGGGCCGCAGGTCGGTGGAGGTGATCGGGAAGCGAGCTGAGACCTCCCGCAGGTCGGTTTATTATTTCGGGGCAGGGAGGGTGGCTGAGACCTGGCTACAGCTCAGTGCATGGGCTGGGAGGGGGGCTGAGAGCCGGCTGCAGCTCAGTGCGTGGGTCATGGGGCAAGAGCCGGATTGTGGCCTGGCCATGGCCCCGTCCGTGTTCCCTTGGGCTGGGAGAGGGGCTGAGACCTGACCACAGTTCACCCTGCGGTTCACAGGGCCGGGAGGCAGGCTGAGACCTGGCCGCCGTTCAGTGCGTGGCTCAGAAGCGAGCTGAGACCTGACCACAGCTTAGTGCATGGCCCAGGGGTGCCAGGGGGTGGGCTGTGCCCTCACTGCAGCCTGGTGTGTGGTCCGCCGGGCCGAGAGGTGCGGTGAGACCTGTCCGCATCTTGGTGCATGGTCTGGGGGGCTGGGATGCAGGCTGAGACCTGGCAGCAGCTCAGTGCACAGGCAGAGTTGGCAGGTATAGCTGGGGGAGAGGGATGGTGGTGCGGAGCAGTCTCCCATCTGCCCCCTCACTCCGCTCCTGGGTGGTCACAGGAGAGCAGTGCCTCTGCAGCGATGTCCCGGCCCTGGTGCAGCGGGCAGAGCTGGCTGGATTCACCCGCTGCCGCCTGAGCGGGAGAGGGGCTTTAACCGCACGCCGGTGCGGGCAGCAGGAGCTTTGCCTGCCTTGGTTCGCAGTCATTAATTCTTGGTGAGGATTGTTTACTGCCTGGTGTTCATAACCTCGTTCCTTCTAGATGCTGATCAGCTCTTGGCCTCCCTGGCTTAGGTGTTGTGTAAACGTGTAGCGAATTTACCGTCTCCAGCCCCAAAACTGGACTGTGTGGTGCATGGCTCGGTGTGGACCTGGTGCTGGGGGAAGGCGGCATACTTGGTGGGCCTGGCTATTGGACAGCCCGATGACCTGATTTGGTTGTTACGCTGTGTAATCTGGAGCAGACTGGTTTTTTTTTTTCCTCTGTGCCGCTTTCTCCGTTTATAAGACACAGGTGCTAACACTTAGAGCTGGTCGAAAACACAGAAAAGAAACAGTTTTGCATTTCTTGAGATGGCTTTTGCTTACTGTCGTTAAACTGTGTGTTAGATGGATCTTGCTCTGTAAACTGCTTCTAAAAGTGATGGATGAAAATAGAGCAGATTTTTATTAGCTGCTTTGCAAAACAGAAGTTACGAGGAGGATGACAACAGTGAAGCTTGCTCTAGGCAAAAAGGGGAAAGAGGATGTTGGGGCCAGGCTAATTGGGGCCATACCTCTTAAGACTGGTATGAGTCTGGACTGAATGTTACCCATCCAAACAGGTTTTATAGGAGGAGGAGGAGGAGCCCAAGATTGACTGGAACTAATTTACTCATTTCCCTCCCAAAGGCTGACCCGAAGACCTGTATCAAGGAGTTGTACAAGAGGAGGAGATAGAAACTGGAAACTCTCTGAATGTGCTGCCTGCAGACTTAAGGCTTCTTCGGAGACTCGAGATTACTTCCCAGGAGAGATGCTTTCTGGAGGGGTTGTGCTGAAGACGAAGCATTGCAGCCTCTAACTGGGACAGCTCCTGCTGGTCTGGAGCTGAGACTGACTTCTCTCCTTCCCTTTCCCTTGGAGATGTTGCAGAGATTTAATGTGACCTCTTCCTCCTCACCTGAAGCCTGCCGTGGCGATGATCCCACAGCTAGATCCGACCACCAAAGAGAAGAGAATTGTGCGTTTGAAGCTGGGCCGTCGTTGTAACTGAACTGGAATTTACTCCCTGCTTGCGCTCCTGGGACAAGTGCTGTTCCTCTGCTTGTCTGTGTGTGTTTTGAGCCGC